AGAGAGGAGGACAAAGGTGTATTACGGAAGGCCAGTCAGCCTTTGGAGCCTAAGGTTTAATGAGGCGTGAGCTCTGGCTTGGCGTTTGCCAGTCTCATCTTGGGGCTGTAACACCACTCGGGCAGCGTCTGTGGTTTATAATCCAGAACACCAGGCGCCTCCCAAGGCGCTCCCCATCCGCCCCGCATCAGGCTGGCTCCCACGTTTCCCGGTCAAGGGCACGTCCGCTCCTCACCCGCTGGGGAGCGCCGCACCCCCAAGCGCACCCGGCGCCGGGCTTGTCCCCAGGCGGGGCCCTGGAGCTGCCCAACAGGTGCGGGCGCGTCCCTCCACGTACCTGCGCGGGGTGTTGAAGAGTCGCTGCTGCTCGTCCCCTTCCTCCTCATCCTCGTCTGTCTCGGAGTCGGGGTGACAGTAGCAGAAGGCCCCACTGCTCCTCTTGCGCTTACGGCTGCCTGGGCAGTAACAGAAGCCGTGGCCCGCAGCGTCGCCGCCAGACTCCGGCCTGCGGGTCGAGCCCCCCGCCCCAGAACCCGGCTCCTGCTGGGCTCGGGCTCGCCCCGGGTGGCGTAGCACTCGGCTGCTCAGGGAGCCCATGGACCACGGCTCCCCAGGACTTCAGGGAGCGCACCTCAGGGAGCCCAGCGGAGGCGGTCTCCCGCCATGGCCCGGCCGCCGCCCGCCTCCACCCAGCCCAGGTGCCTACACGGCCACCTTCTCACGCGCAGCCCCAACCGTCGCAGCGGACGCTACCGCCTCCATCCTCCGCCCCGCCCGCCGCGTCCAGCCGCGCGGCGCGCCGGGACCGCAGAACCTCGCCCCCTCGCTATCGCCACAAAGCGCGGACCGGAAGGCGCGTGCGCGCGGCGAGCCTCCGGAAGGGGCGGGGGAAGGCGAGAGTGCGTGGTGGGTGGGGCCTGCGCTGAAAGGTAAAGGGGGTTGGAGCCGGGAAGCTTGTCGGCGCATAGGCGGCTAGCGGCCTGCTCTCCGCTTGGGTCTCGCGCTACCATGAGATTTGGGGCCAATTTGGATTTTAGCGTTACTTCACACACCCCTTTGTATTAGCCCGACCGGGAGTTCCAGCTCATTGATTGTTTCTGCAAAAGTTCCTTGAGTTCCGGATACCTAGTAGGCTCTGTGCTAAGTAGGGGCAAAAAAGATGGTGCTGTTTGGGCTCTTCCTTAGAGGAGCCCACCACTAGCTGGGATCACGCCTTGCGGGCATTTGGCAAGGCTTCCTCGGGGAGGAGGACCTACTATGTGGAGTTTCGTTAGGTCTTTGTGTTTCTTAAATATCGGCCTTCTGCCGCCCTAGACGGGTTATGGCAAAGGTTCCCTGCACTTCCCAGCTTCCCTTCTTAGCTGCAGTGAAACGTCTGAGTAGGGTCTGTACCAGTACTGGCAGGGCTTACAGTGCCTTCTGGAGGCCGGAGCAAAATTTACAGCTGTCTGCCTTGGACAGCCAGCTTTCACTCCCTGACACCATTCTGCTACTTTTTAAATAAAGTGTTTACAATGAATTACTCAGAGTAATACAGTAAACACCTATGGTTCCACCACACGTATGATAATTTAAAATTAAAATAGCTTTGGGGCGCCTGGGTGGCTCGTTCGGTTAAGCGTCCGACTTCGGCTCAGGTCATGATCTCACGGTCCGTGAGTTCGAGCCCCGCATCAGGCTCTGTGCTGACAGCTCAGAGCCCGGAGCCTGTTTCAGATTCTGTGTCTCCCTCTCTCTCTGCCCCTCCCCTGTTCATGCTCTGTCTCTCTCTGTCTCAAAAATAAATAAACGTTAAAAAAAATAAATAAAATAGCTTTGATTCATTCTCTTCAATAGGATACTATAGATAGAAGCTCCGTCTCCATCTCTGTCTCTCCCTCCACTGTGGTGACCACCATCCTGAGAATAGTGTTTATCGTTTTCCCATGCATGTTCTTAAACATATACCCATAAGCACTGTATGTTCTTTAGCACATTTAGGCATGTAATTACATGGAATCACATTGTACCTATCATTCTGCACCTTTCTTCTTTCTCAAAATTTTACTTTTAAGATTTATCCAGTTAATCTCCAGTTAATTTTCATTGCTCATTGTGTCACTAATCCACAATTTGTTTATCTTTTGAGGGAGTTAGGTTGTTTCTACTTTAATGTTCTTATAGAGTAGCAATGAACACCATGTACAAAGATTCACCAAATAGATTCCTAGAAGTAGATTTCCTGGGAACTTTCCACCTCTATTAGCTATTGCCAAGTTCTCTGGAATGATTAAACCAATTTATACTCTCATCAGCACCACATGTAGTTTGGGGGCCTGAGTGGACTGGTGTCTGACTCATGCCTGAGGAATTTGAATCAGGAGAAGCTGGCTGAGGCAATTTGGTAGGGGGGGGGGCAGGAGCGGGGGGAGCAGACAATGGTGGCAGCAAGGGGATTAGTCTTCATGCCTAGAATTTGTCAGCACAAGGGATGTGCGTGCACGTGTTTCCCATGGAGCAAGTGTGGGCCACCATAAGAGAGCCAGCATGGGATCATCTTAGATTCTGTCCCAGAGGCCTGGGTGGAAGGTCAAACTGACTTCAGCAAAGAACCTGAAAGTATTATCAGATTCCTAGGGGCTGAGAAAGGAATTGATAAAGGCACCCAGGAGAATGTCCCTAAGATTCAGCTTTAAATATCTGCCGCTGTTTCACAGTACTGATCCTTTATCACCACAGCAAGAACAGTCGGGTAAGAACTTTCTTGCTCCCCTTTACTCTTTTGGCTAAGTTTGGGCTGTGGTGGAGGGATGGGTGTGGGGAAGGAAACCAAAGTGGAGAAAGAAGAGAAACCCACCATATTCCTTACTCCTGCTGGCAATAGTCCAGAGCTGAACAATAGGCCAGAACTGAAGAAGCCTCAATTATAAATCAAGTTTGGAATTTTGACTGGACATATTAATTACTAAAATGACCATAAGGGACTGCACAGTAGGACTTTTTAAAACCTAAGGGTGACCAGAAAAGTCCCAGCACTATCAGAATTTTCATCTAATGACAGGAGTAGACTCACGAATAAATGTAAATAAACAGTGGGACAGAAGAACAAAGTTGCCTCATAATTATATTCCAAAGTCATGCTTGTTCTTCACAATAAACAAACATTCCTCCAAGGTGGCTTTATCCTGCTTCCAGTCAACAAATGTTAATATCCAGTCACCATATGCAATTTGTTTTAAAAAATTTGGTTAAATCATATATAATTTAAAGCTAAAACTACTAAAATTTTGTAATGCTTCCAAAGCCAAATAAAGTTGGAGATTCCATACTCTTCTAGGTACATATCAAAGCAGCAGTACTATTTCCTGTAATTAATTGGAATGACTAAGTATTTGTAAAAATAGCCTTCACCATTAGCTCAAGCACTTATAATGGGCAAGTAAAAACAAATTGAAAAAAAAATCTTTGTATTTCATCTATCAAAATACAATAGATATTATAGAAGGAAAAAAGAAGGCAACTATTCTTTTTCTTAATTTTTTTTAATGTTTATTTTTGAGGGAGAGACAGCGAGTGCAAGCTGGGGTGGGGCAGGGAGAGAGGAAGACACAGAATCCAAAGCAGACTCCAGGCTCTGAGCTGTCAGCACAGAGCCTGATGTGGGGCTCGAACTCACAAACCATGAAATCATGACCTGAGATAAAGTCGGATGCTTAACTGACTGAGCCACCCAGGTGCCCCAGAAGGCAAGTAGTCTTATTTAATACAAATGTTCCACTTATAAGAGAGCATCACTTATTTCCAGAGAATAAATTAAATACATTATTTTATATTATTAAGTAGTGTTTGGTATACGTAAACATTAGTTTTATAGCAGTGATTGCACATAAGATTAAATATGTTATTTTTTCTTAATGTTGTAGTTTCTTTTTAAAAAATGTTTATTTATTTGGGGGAGGGGGGAGATGGGCAGAGAGGGAGGGAGAGAATTCCAAGCAGGCCCCATACTCAGCTCAGAGCCCCATGCAGGGCTTGAATACATGAACCATTAAATCATGACCGAGGAGAAATCAAGTGTTGTAGTTTCTTTTTTTTTTTCAATATATGAAATTTATTGTCAAATTGGTTTCCATACAACACCAGTGTTCATCCCAAAAGTGTTTCTGCCTCCTTTTAATCCTTATCCTTACTCCTCCTTCTACCCTCCCTTCCTCCCACCCTCCCCATCGTACCTCAGTTTAGCTTTTAAGTTTTAATGGGTCTTTATAGTGATGGTTCTCTCCACACTTAAAAGAGACTTTTTCTTTCCTTCTCCCCTGCTTTCTGTTAAAGTTCTCAGATCCACATATGAGTGAAATCCATAGGTATCTGTCTTTTCTCTGTATGGCTTATTTCACTTAGCATCACACTCTCCAGTTCCATCCATGTTGCTAAAAGGACCATTTTCATTCTCATTGCCACGTTAGTACCTTATTGTATATAAAACCACATCCTTCTTTATCCATTCATCAGTTGATGGACATACGTAGGTTCTTTCCATTTATTATTGTTGAGTAGTGCCGTGTATAAACATCGGGTACGTCCCCTATGCATCAGTACTCTGTATCCTTTGGGTAAATTCAGCAGTCTACAATGCTGGGTCATAGGTATTCATATTTTTTAGAACCTCCACACTGTTTTTTCCAAGAGCAGCTGCACCAGTGTGTGCATTCCCACCAACAGTGCAAGAGGGTTCCTGCCCTTTTCCACACTCTTCAGCATCTATAGTCTCCTGATTGTTCATTTTGGCCCACTCTGACCTGGCGAGGTGATATCTGAGTGTGGTTTTGATTTGTATTTCCGATAGGAGCGACGTTGAGCATCTTTTCATGCGCCTGTTGGCCATCTGGATGTCTTCTTTAGGTTGTAGTTTCTAACAGAAACTGACTAACACAAGTTTTTTAAAGATATCTTCTTTCAGGGCCAGGGTGAAAAATCTCCGAAGTGGAAAAGTCAATTAGAGAAAGAATATTTTAAAGACATTTTAAAGACACCATGTTTTATTAAAATTATTTTTCCACGTCGTATATAAACTGAACCTTTGAATAAAATCAAGTACAACTTCAGAATAATTCTAGAGTTGAAAGGCACAGTGCAAATGTAAATTACTACAAATCAACAAAATTGAAAAATATTTAAAAAATTACTTTTAGCACAAAAAAATTCCTGTAAATAAAAGTAAATTCAGAACATTACACCATCATCAGTATAATACCTTGTTGGACACTTAGTTTTTTTCCATTCATCTTCCAGCTGAATTAAGACATTAACCATAATATTGTGGAATGTTCAGCATTTATGTTTGCTAACCAGACATATATGACCTGTATAACCACACTTAGAATTTAATTTGCTCAGACGAGTTGGTGATTTTGGTATACTTCAACCTGGAGAGAGTAAGTAATCTTAATGTAAGATGTGAGAAAGGAAGTCTCCCATGCAAACTTTTGTAGAGATCAACTAACAGTATAGACAAAATCTAAACAAAGGAGATTAGTGGATGTTTTCAAAGTATGACCATGTAAAACAGCTAATCGAACTGATATTCTTAAGAACTACATGCTCACAATTTCAAATAAAGAAATTACTAGCCACTTTGAAAACAGAATTAGGGAAGCAAAGTGATTTTACAGCAGTCTTTGAGTCTTCTGCTTTAATAGTTTTTCACCAAAACCATGAAATAAATTTAATACATTCCAATTTCTGTGAAACACAAACAAGGAAGAAATCTGTTAAAACCATGGAGTACATTTTTATTTCTAATTTAAAATCTCCTTTCAAGTTGTATAAGCTTTGAAATGCAAGTACAGCTTTAAAGCATCATAATGAGTAATTATAGATGAATAATAATACAGTCTATATCCTAAGGAGCATCTGTAGGCGTTTTAATTGGAAATAAGCATTCTGAGATAATACTAATAGCAGTGTGGAAAAATGAAGTGAAAAAAAAAATTCAAAGTGTTGGGAATCCTCCTATCCTTCCTGGATTTTATTTTAATCGTCTCCTCCACAGAGAATGAGCAGTACTTTCCTGTAGTCTCCAGATGTGTCACCCTGGGGGCAAGGGAAGCAAAGGAACAATCTGATAAGCGGGTTTTCAAAAGGAATACACAGATCGGAGTCAACCATGTTAACTTTTTCAGTCTTCTCTGGCTTTTTCTCACAGAGGTATTTTTTTATTGCAAAAGTAATACCTGTTCAATATAGGAAATAAAGACATAAAAGAACATAAAAACCCTAATTCCACCATCTAGAGATATTCTTAGTATTTTGGTGTGTGCAATATCCTTCCAGACCTTTTTCTATGTGTATAGGTTCCTATGTGAGCGGGTATAGTATTCTGTATTCTGCTTTTTTACATAATAGAGATTATTTCCCTATTTTAATTTATTAAATGTTCTTCTACAACATCATTCTTTAATGGTTAAATAGTATTCTGTTTTATATAGGTAAAATAGTTTGCTTACCCTCCCCCACTGTTAGATATTTCTATCTTTTCTAATTTTTCACTATTATAAATACTGTTATAATAAGCAATTGTAGTTAAATTTTTGTGCATTTTCTTGATGATTTACTCAGGATAGATTTTCATAAAATGAGAATTACCAGATTAATGATGGTGCCTTTTCTTAAAGAACATTTTTTTTATGTTTATTTTTTATTTTTATTTTTTTAATTTTTTTTTAACTTTTATTTATTTTTGAGACAGAGAGAGACCAAGCATGAATGGGGGAGGGGCAGAGAGAGAGGGAGACACAGAATCAGAAGCAGGCTCCAGGCTCCGAGCCATCAGTCCAGAGCCCGACGCGGGGCTCGAACCCACGGACCGCGAGATCGTGACCTGAGCTGAAGTCGGACGCTTAACCGACTGAGCCACCCAGGCGCCCCTTAATGTTTATTTTTGAGAGAGAGAGAGAGAGAGAGAGAGAGAGAGAGAGAATGCAAGTGGGGAAGGGGCAGAGAGAGAGGGAGACACAGAATCCGAAGCAGGCTCCAGGCTCTGTCATATCAGCACAGAGCCCGATGTGGAGCTCAAACCCAGGAACCACAAGATCATGACCTGAGCCAAAGCCGCCGGGTGCTCAACTGACTGAGCCACCCAGGTGCCCCAATGATTGTGCATTTTCTTAAGCCTTTTGGTACATGTTGCAAAATAGCCTTCCAGAAAGGTGCTATAATATCTACATATAATGTTTTATGGTCTAATTATTAGATCAATTTTTGTTTGTACTTCATGGGCACTAGAAAAGAGGGAATCTCTGTCTATTGGATTCAAAGTTTAATATATATCTCTTAAATTAAATCTTAATATATCTTTCTTTATGTTTTGTCTCATCAATTTGCCAAAGAACAAGGATGTGTTAAATTCTATCTGGCATATTTTTCCATCAATGTCTTCTTTTGGAGCTTCAAATTTCTTATTTATAGATTTGAATGCAACACTTATTTGGCACTTAAAAGTTTCATGACTTAATCTTTGTTGTGAATAGTTGCCTTTATTAATATAAAGTGATCCCTTTTTTCCTATTTAATGTGTTTTCTCCTTAAATTCTTTTTCCTTATAGCATAATCCCTTTTTCCTTATAGCATAATGTTCTTTTCCCCGGCCTCTTTTACAGCTACTTACATGTCACTGTATTCTAGTTGTTCCTTACAAGTATAACTTACATTTTTCTTACTTTTGTCATTTTTGCTTTTTTAAAAAAATATTTACTTTTGAAAGAGAGAGAGCATGCGAGCAGGGGAGGGGCACAGAGAGAGGGAGACAGAGAATCCCAAGCAGACTCCCCACGGTCAGCCTGAACCCCCAATATGGGGTTTGAACTGTGAGATCATGACCTGAGCCGAAGTGAGACACTTAACCGACTGAGACACCCAGGCGCCCCTGGATGTGAATCATTTCTTGTCATTCTCATGCCCAGTTAGGACTCCGGGAAGTCTGCTGCCAGGTAAACAAAGGCAGAAATCCAGCGTAACTAACAGGCTTTCCCACTGTAGATCTTAGCTGGCCCTGGGTAGGGTTCTGGATGACTGACTTTGTTGCTTATCTTCCACTGTAAGCAGGCAGGCAAGGAAATGACACTTTTAAAAGTATTCATTACAATATACTCTTTCTCTGTCCGGGGTCAACATAATTACTATATTTAGAAGGCAAACATTTCCAGCTTCTAACCTGGCAGAGATTTAAACATCTGTGTGAAAGGAAAGAAACTGGAAATACCTGAATTAGAGTAAGATCTTTAAAAGTGGTGCTATCTGTCAGGGAACAGATAAGAAGTGTCTGAATACCTAGGTCAGAACCCCATTTCTTTTCTCAGAGCTTTCCCCTGGACCAAGGCTGGGCTCTCATGACCTACCTTGATGAAGGAATACAGAGACTTCCCATAAAGCCTCTTGAAGTTTTCCCGGATGTCCATCATATCAATCTCTGCTCGAGAAACCATAACTCTGATAAGGGTGTCATCATCGGTGCCCAAGCCCTAAGGAAGAAAACAAGATCCATGCTGGTTCTCAGTGCCCTTCTTTAGCCTATCAAGGCAAGCCTATGCATGGCTCTCCTGATGACGTCTTTTGCACCACAAAGCCTGTAGAAGCCTGTGGAATACTGTTCCTCACCATGGTGTTCAGGGCTTTCCACAACCTACCTTTCCAACACTCTGTGTTCTGACCAGAGGAGACTACTCTCTGCCATTCGAGACACATACTCTGCTGTTCTCAGACTGCCTGCCTCACCTGCAATGATTCCTCCCCACTGAATGTCATCCTTCCTTCCCCAGCCTTACCATCCTTCCTACCAGATGAAATCCTCCAACGTAAAACTCCCTTTATCTATTTTTTTAACGTTTACTTGCTTACTTTTGAGAGAGCGAGGGCCTGCACAAGTGGGGAAGAGGCCAAGAGATACACACAGAATGTGACACAGGCTCCAGGCTCTGAAGTGTCAGCGTAGAGCCCAACGCAGCACTTGAACTCACAAAACTGTGAGATCATACCTGAGCCGAAGTCAGACGCTCAACTGACTGAGATACCCAGGTGCCCCTGTAAAATTTCCTTTAAGGTCCTACTGAAATATACCAACTTCTTTAAATATTCTTCTCTGATCTTCACCCCCTAAACAAATACTGGAAGATGCTCTTCTTTCTGTGTTCCTATATATTTGGATCCTCAACTACTGTCTTATATTCTATTTTGTCCTTACTGGTATTTTGCACACATGTGTCTTCCCCTTCCTACCTTCTGATCTCTCCTGTACCTCTCATGGTTCCCAGCAGCGGTCTCTGCACAGAGTATGATGCATGGTTAGGGGCTTGGGCTCTGAAGCCAAACTGCCAATATTTGCATCCTTGCTCCATTACTTCCTCACTGAGGACCTTGGACAAACTGCACATCCTCCCTATGTCTCAGTTTTCTCATCTGTAAAATGGGGATTAATAATAGGACCTTCCCCTTAGAGCTGTTGTAGGGATAAAATTAATCCATATGTATACGGCATTAGGAATGGTGATCACATGTTATAAGTACTCAATAAGTATTACCTAGTATTATCATTAGCAGGCACTCGGTGAAGTATTTGATGAGTTGAACTGAGTATCTCAAGCTGATTTTGGTTAATTTGTATGGGAAACAGAAGTAAACATGAAGGTGGACATAAGACATGTTGGAGTCATTGAGATGCTAAAAATGAGCCATTTACCTTCATAGATTTATAAAGCCTTTCAGCAAAATATGCAGATTTGTTCCTCATGCACTTTACTGTTAAGAGATAAAAAAAAAGAAATAAAAAAATTATAAAAGCTATGAGAAAAAAGTGGCAATTGTTCCCTCTGTTTCTACAAGGTATGAAGTAGTATTCTCTTGATTGCTTTGTCAGAAGAATTTTAGCCAAGGTCTATGTTTTATGAACATAGACCATGGAGAAATAATTAATAAAGGCAATTAAAGCAAAAGGCAGCATATAGTTTCAAAATGATTACTATGTCTACCATATGAAACAGTTATTAGTTCTAACCATCCATAGACTTACAAGAGGCAGCTAATATAGGATTATCTCTCTGGTATATTCAGATATAAAGGCACAGAGGATATAAAATATATAAAGCTACATAATATAATAATGATCAGATCATATATAATACTTCTTGTCTAAAATTCTGCATCCCATTATGAGGGACTGAAACTTTTTTTTAAATCCCTGAAAACACCTATATCCCCATGACAACAAACTAGTAAGGAGAAAAGTCGGTAAACATTTGTTTCTCTACTTCCCACCCTCTACCAACTTACCTATGGCCAGCAGAGCATCTTCAAAGCTACCAGATGTTTCAGATTTAATACTCTGCTCAATATCCTTCTGTGATATCCTTTTGTATTCATCAAACACTACAAACAATAACAAAATGGAATTATAAATAATAAAAAGAATAGAGGAAACTGAAATTTATGGAGAGAATGAGCATTCTAGAGATCACTGTTTATTTAAAAAAATTTTTTTTAACATTTATTCATATTTGAGAGACAGAGACAGAGTGTGAGTGGGGGAGAGGCAGAGGAAAAGGGAGACACAGAATCCAAAGCAGGCCCCAGGCTCTGAGGTGTCATGACAGAGCCTGATGTGGGGCTGGCACTCATGGACAGGGAGATCATGACCTGAGCTGAAGTTGGACGTTCAACCGACTGAGCCACCCAGGTGCCCCCATTTTTTTTTTACAAGTATTTTTTAAAATTTTAATTTAATTTAATTTTTTAATTTATATCCAAGTTAGTTACCATATAGTGCAACAATGATTTCAGGAATAGATTCCTTAATGCCCCTTACCCTTTTAGCCCATCCCCCTTCCCATAACCCCTCCAGTAACCCTCTGTTTGTTCTCCATATTTAAGAATCTCTTATGTTTTTGCCCCCCTCCCTGTTTGCTTCCCTTCCCTTATGTTCATCTGTTTTGTATCTTAAAGTGTTCATATGAGTGAAGTCATATGACATTTGTCTTTCTCTGACTGACTAATTTCACTTAGCATAATACCCTCCAGTTCCATCCATGTAGTTGCAAATGGCCAGATTTCATTCTTTTTGATTGCCGAGTAATACTTCATTGTATATGTATACCACATCTTCTTTATCCATTCATCCATCAATGGACATTTGAGACACCCCCATTTTTTATTTTAATTAAAAAAATTTTTTTAATGTTTGTTTTTGAGAGAGACAGAACACAAGTGGGGGATGGGCAGAAAGAGAGGGAGACACAGAATCTGAAGCAGGCTGCAGGTTCTGAGCTGTCAGCACAGAGCCTGACGTGGGGCTCAAACCCACAAACCGTGGGATCATGACCTGAGCCAAAGCCAGATGCTTAAGCGACTGAACCACACAGGTGCCCTGAAAAAAAAATTTTTTTCTTAACGTTTATTCACTTTTCAGAGACAGAGACAGAGTGTGAGTGAGACAGAGTGAGACACAGAATCCAAAGCAGTCACTATTTATTCTTTGGCATACCTCAGGAAGAAAGTAATTAGCAGTGTCAGTGAGAACCCAGGAGGCACAGGCAAGTGGAATGGGTGCGAGGGGAGGATGAAGGAATGTTGTGACTCTCGGAGGAGATCAGGTGAGTCCTTTCCCTTATTTGGGACCCTGTTTTCTCACACATAAAATGAACATAACATCTAGAGAGATGTGCTTTCTTTTCTCATTGTTCTCTTAATGAGCAGAACATGTCTTTTTGTAATTCTGGCCTTGGCAATCACCTGTGTGTTCCTTTTGGCTTAAAACTAGAGTAAGTCAACCCCTTGAATAATGAGTCACATTTGACACAAATGGTTGCCTCTTTTAATAGACTGTAACATAATTAGTTTTTCTTTCACTTCTTGCCAAGTATTTTCAAATGCGATGAACCTATTTTCCTCTCGCTGTCTCCTTCTGGAGCCTTCTTAGAGTGGATATCTGTTTCTTCTTCTTAACATTGCTCTCTTTGGGGTATTGCCCCAGGCCCCGTCAGTGTGATTTTCACAGGGCTGTCAACCCACAGACACCCCTGCCCCCCAACATACACCATAAGCTCTACCAAATCAGTGGGCAGTTCATCGGACCACAGCCAGTCTTACCCTCCTGGGGATTTTTTTAAATTTAATTAATTAATTAACTAATTAATTTTTAAAGAGAGAGAAAAAGATAAAGAGATCTTAAGTAGGCTCCACATCCAGCATGGAGTGGGATGTGGGGCTCAATCTCACAACCATGAGATCATGGCCTAAGCTGAAATCAAGAGTCTGATGCCTGACTGAGCCACCCAGGCTTTCCCCCTCCTGGGGGTTTTATAAATGAGCAGATAATGGGAATGGCCAAAAGCACTGAGTCAGCTTTAACCTCAGAGAACAGAAGAATTAACTGGGGAACCTGGGAAACATCCTGGATGTCACTTTCAGGGATTCTAAATCAGCCAGTCTGAAGTAGGGGTTCAAGAACCAGCATTTTCAACAAAGACCAGACTGAGAAACTCTGCCTTACAAGTAAAACATGTGACTCCCTTCCACTGTGATCCCCAGAACTGCCTTCATTTCTGTTCTTCCTGGAATTGTTCAGCTCTTCCTTCAATTCTATGAGCCACCAGTTTTTTCCATTTTCCCTCTTGTCCCATTCTGTATTATTTCTCCTTCTTACTTAAGTTGGAGTCAGTGTCTATTGCTTGGAATCAAAAGATCTCATTGACACATTTTCAAAGTCCCAGTTTTCTCCACTGTAAAATGGGGGAAATAATGGCTGCTCCAATGGGATATTGCAACAAACAATGCTTATCATATGCTTAGCACTGCACTGGGAAGATAATTAATAAAACCCTAGTTATTTGAATCCTCACTATTATTGTTTGTTGGTAAGAAAATTATGAAGTTTTCTTTATCCAAATAGTGCTTAGATTTTCTTCCAGTCGTTTACAAGCAGATATTTTATAACTTCCCGACAATTGTGCTGAGAAGTGAAAATTGTTACAAAGGTATTTGCATGGTCTTTAGCAGACCTGCAGTTCTTGGGAAATACCACCAGGTGGAGATTTATGTAATTAGTAATCTGGCAAGGGGAAGAAATAAGGAGCTGAGTCAGAAGTTGGTGCATCTGATGGTAGCCCGTGACATTTATTAACAGGTGTAATTACCTATTTTTAGGCACTGTGGAATATCTGAAATCACTGCAACTTCCAAATGTGTTGTAATTTTCAATTACTTTATGTTTTCAATTTAGCGAACTCATCCTCAAATTCCCATAGGTTTTGTAAATTGTGTGTGATTATACAGCACGGTGGGTTTATAAAATTGTGCTGCAACATAAAGACCTAAAGAGCTTATATAAAAGATGAAATATCCTATTTAATCCTTATTGCTGTTTACAAGAAAATAAACCTGACGACAAATGTTCCACAATTTTTTTCCCAAAGAAGTTTAAAAGCACATTACAAAGACTAGCATTACCAGAAGCAAATTAAAAACATTACACATAGGAAATAAAATGTGAAACTATCCACTATTTACTCCCTAAAGAGTATCCACATACTCCCTAAAGAAATCATTTCTATTAGCTTTACAACTTGGATATTAAATAGGAATAAATATCAACCAACAATTCTACTTCATTACTCACTGATGTACTGAAGATTTTTTCTTATGTAAGTAAAATTAAATGGGGCAGGTGCCTGGGTGGCTCAGTCGGTTTAGTGTCCGACTCGTGATCTCGGCTCAGATCATGATCTTGCAGTTCGTGAGTTCGAGCACTCATAGTGCAGAGCCTGCTTGGAGTTCTCTCTCCCTCTCTCTCTGCTCCTACCCCACTCATTTTCTCTCTCTCTCTCTCTCAAAATAAATAAGTAAACTTAAAAAAAATTTTTTTTTAATTAAATGGGGCTGCTTTAGAAAAAGGACTGACCACGAACGTTGGTTTCCTACAAACAGGAATGCCAAACCCCTATGAATACATTGTATATCCACTAATTATTCATCATTAATATTTCAGAAATTGGCTCTCATGCACACTGTTGCACTCCTACATTTCCAAGGTAAGATATCTAAGACAGTTCAGTGCAATCAGTTCTTTGTACCAAGTAAAGGGGAAAAGGTTCTAAATTAATTATGGACAATATAGTTTTCACTGTCTTTCAAACAGTTTCTTTGAAGATGAGGCAAGTGCCTTACCATGCAACAGATGATTGCGATTCCGGGAACAGAGAACAGTTAGAAATTTCACCTCATCTGTCCCCCATTTCTTCTCTCCAGCCTCATACAGGTCCTGAAGCCAAACAAAGCACAAGTTTAAAACATCATAGAGAAGGTGCCAGGAAATATATAAATATTTCCAGAACTTCATAGAGCTGAGCTGGCTGCGTTTTATTTTGTTGGTGATGAGGGTGGATGTGGTGTTGGTGAGTGGCAAACAATGACTCAAGACTTTTCCTTAGGTATATGACTAATAGGACCTTTTACTATCTCGAGAGGGCAAGCACCAGCAGCAGCTCCTTATATACAGACTACATGGTTCTATCAGAGCTGAAAGGAATGCCCTAGACTAGGCTTACCATACAGAAGTCACTAACCATACGTGACTACTTACATTTTCATTCATGAAAATTTACAAGTCAACTCCTCAGTCAGACTAGCCACATTTCAGGTGCTCTGTCGCCATTTGTGGCTACTCTGGCTGAGGAGTTGACTTTTAAATTTCACTTAATTTTAGTTAATTAAAATTAGCCAGTGGACACCTATACGAGACAGTGCCAATGTAGAACATTTTCAGCATCGCAGAAAATTCTACCGGACAACACTACTGTAGAATGATCTGTGATTTACCGAAGGCTACACAAGGTGTCACAGTAGAACCAGGACCCCATTAGTAATTGTTTATATTCCAAACAGGTAGGACTATAAGAATTTGACTCTGGCCACTTTAACTATATTACTGATAAATCAAAACTACTATTCATGTTACCTCACTGCTATTTTAAAAAAACAACAGGAAAATAGCAACTGTTGGCGAGGATGTCGAGAAACTGGAACCCTGTGCACTCTTGATGAGAACGTAGAATAACGCAGCCTCTATAGAAAACAGTATGGCTATGCTTCAAGAAATTAAAAATGGAATTACCATATGATCCAACAATACTACTTCTGAGTATATAGCCAAAAGAATGGAAAGCAGTCCTTACAGAAATATCTGTATATTCATATTCACAGAGCATTATTCACAACAGCCAAAAGTTAGAAGCAACTCAACTGTCCATCGACAGACAGATGAATGGATAAACAAAATGTGGGCTATACAAACATTGGAATATAATCCAGCCTTAAAAAGGAAGGAAATTCTGACACATGCTACAACCTGGATGAACCCTGAGGACATTATGCTAAGTGAAATAAGCCAGTTACACAAACACAAGTACTGTGCGATTACCTTGTATGAGGTGTCTAGTCAAACTCATAGAAACAGAAAGCCAGAGAGTGGTTGTCACTGGCTGGGAGGAGGGGGAAATGAGGAGTTGTTTAATGGTATAGAGTTTCAGTTTTGCAAGGTGAGAAAGCTCTGGAGATTGTTTGCACAGGAATATGCACATAGTTAACATTACTGAACTTAAAAATGGGTAAGATGGCAAATTTTATGTTATGTGTGTTTTATTTTAAAAATGTTTTTGGGTGCGCCTGGGTGGCGCAGTCGGTTAAGCGTCCGACTTCAGCCAGGTCACGATCTCACGGTCGGTGAGTTCGAGCCCCGCGTCAGGCTCTGGGCTGATGGCTCAGAGCCTGGAGCCTGTTTCCGATTCTGTGTCTCCCTCTCTCTCTGCCCCTCCCCCGTTCATGCTCTGTCTCTCTCTGTCCCAAAATAAATAAATGTTGAAAAAAAAAATTTAAAAATGTTTTTGGAGCATCTGGGTGGCTCAGTCCGTTAAGTGTCTGACTTCAGCTCAGGTCGTGATCTCACAGCTCGTGGGTTCAAGCCCTCCGTCGGACTCTGTGCTGACAGCTCAGAGCCTGGAGCCTGCTTCAGATTCTGTGTCTCCCTCTCTCTCTGCCTCTCCCCGCTCACACTCTGTCTCTCTCTCTCTCTCAAAAATAAACATTTATTAAAAAAATTTTTTTTTTTAATTTAAAACCCTACTGTTTATTTACAGTCAGCAGCTGGCTTGTTAAGTTTCTCAAAATGCCCTTAACTGACACATTTTTGTCACTCATTGGGCTTCCCTCCATCTACTCATCTATTCTTTCACTTCTTTGTCTAATTTCCTCACTGCTTTAGAGTCAATTCACAGAACCATGGAACTTTAAAGCTCAGAGGGCACGAAGAGTTCATTTAAGTAATAAAGTAATAAGCTTTAAAATTCAGATTTTCCTGTTTCGTCTAAGATCACTTCTTGTCAGCTCATCTAGCTCCTTTATCTTTTCTTGCCCTTCATCTGGCTCCGTTTTCATCTCTGTTCTTTTCTCACTGCCTTTTTATTTAGCTCTTGTTTCACTAAAACCTGTTTTTCTCTTGTGTATTTTAGGGTCCAAAGCCATGTGAAATCTGCCTCTTCCTGACAGTGTGGCCCTGTTTGCCTCCCTTGCTGCTTCTGTTTGTTCACAGGCCACATAGTGTCTGAGCTGAGGGTTTGCTGACTGTCACGCTTTTTCATTTTTAAGTGATGAGCAGTCTATCCAGATCTGTTCTTTTCCTCCAGAACAAGGTGAGGGGATTCTTCTCGGAGCTCCTCACTTTTTATATGGATGGAGTTCCAGCAGGAGCACCAGTTGCTAGTCCACGGAGGACTGCTGAGACACAGGAGTTCCCTGAGGAATTTCTTCCTGTTCGCACAAAGCCACTGTGCTTTGAGGTTGGGGGCATTGGCCTCTTTTCTGTGGCAGAAATGTCCTTCCTGCATCCTTGGCCCAGGTTTGCTGCCCATCTGGCATTTTAACGGCCCTCCTCCATGGTTTCCAGTGTTGATGCAGATTTTCCCTTTTTTAGATTTGCTGGTTTGTTTGTTTTTCAGGAGAAGAGAACCAAAATGTGTCATCCAGCCAAAGCTCTGAAGGGCATTTTTACTGTAGTTTAAAAACTTTTTTTATGTTTTTTTTTGAGAGAGAAAGAGAGACCGAGCCCAAGCAGGGGAGGGGCAGAGAGAGAGGGAGACAGAATCTGAAGCAGGCTCCAGGCTCTGAGCTGTCAGCACAGAGCCTGATGTGGGGCTCAAACTCACAAATCTTGAGATCACCATCTGAGCCGAAGCTGGACACTTGACCGACTGAGCCACCCAGGTGCCCCTAGGGTAGTTTTAATATATCATGAGTTTCTTTTTCTTTTTAATTTTTTTTTAACGCTTATTTATTTTTGAGACAGAGAGAGACAGAGCATGAACGGGGGAGGGTCAGAGAGAGAGGGAGACACAGAATCTGAAACAGGCTCCGGGCTCCGAGCTGTCAGCACAGAGCCCGATGCGGGGCTCGAACTCACGGACCGCGAGATCGTGACCTGAGCCGAAGTCGGCTGCCCAACCGACTGAGCCACCCAGGCGCCCCATGAGTTTCTTTTTAAAGTAGGAATTTTGAGCACTCCCTATGATGTCCTTCAGTGCCAGTTTCATCCCAAGAACAGATGAAATTGGACTCGTTGGATAACAGCCTTTTTAAATTTTAAGATTTCTACCTTTTGTAAGTTACCATGACCTGATTCCACCTGCCCTGATCATTCTTCTCATCTCAAACTCATTTACTTTCCTCAAAATCCAGCTATAACACCTAGTGGTTGCAACCACTCCCCCTGCTGCTGATACAAGCCACAGCAAAGGCTGACAAGGTTTTCCTACTGTCTTATCCTATAAGAGCTGAAATATCAGTGGGCATTGGTCTTAAATTCCTCACCTCTTGGCGAAGGATCCAGAAAAACCTACTCTGAGTTCTACTTCCTCCGTCTAACTTTCCCAGCCCAAACTTGGTAGGAAACCCCTTTCAGCTGATCACTTCCAAGAGGCTCCTTGAAGAGCCCTCAAAACAGTTGATTGAACTGCATTTGTTTAAAAAACTCAGACAGACCTGGATTCAAGGAGCCCAATTCTACCAGCTAGGAGATCTTGGACAAGTTATTTATTTATTTATTTATTTATTTATTTATTTATTTATTTATTTATTTATTTATCATTTACCGTAGTTAGGAATGATTTTTTTGGATAAGTTATTTAAATCTTCACATCAGTTTCTTAATCTCTAAAGCAGAAGTAAAAATATCTACTTCACAGATGTGTTGTGAGGAAAAAGCGCAAAGCAGTTAATGCAATGCCTGGCATCTAAGAAACGCACCAACAATTGACAGTGGCTATAATGTCTCAGGAATAAATTGCTTGCTAACTCTTCATTTAGTTTGAGATACACCTGTAGGAGCTCCTGAAGGAGCTATGGAGGCTCCTTCCAACATACCCAAAAATGTTGTCTTTGAGGTAGCTGAAATTCATGTAAACAACCAGGAGTTCAGCGTTTTCAATACCTTCTCCCTCCTCAAAGCTTTTGTTTTAGAGGCAATTTCCTATTTCTCTAGTATGGGATGGGCCTCCCTGCATCCTCAGAACTCTTATGACACACATACCCCTCTCCCTCTTGGTGAAAGCAACGGGTTCTTTCCTGCAGAATCCATAGTGGTTCATACCTTGCATAATGAATGGGAACAGTTCTTCCCCATGGTTGTATATTGGTTGAGAGTACAGGATCTAGATCCAAATTGCCTAGGTTCAAATCCCAGTTCTGCCATGTATTATCTGTGAACTTGAGCAAGGAACTGGACTTCTGTAAGCCTCAATTTTCTTGTCCATAGAACGGGGATAGCAATACTTGGTTCACAGGGTTATTGCAAGGATTCAATGACATACTTTGTATCAAGAGCTCAACAGTGTTTGGCACTTGGTAAGGACCCACTTTTTATTAGTTCTTATTGTCAGTGTTACCTGGCTGCAGTAAATAGATCAGGCATCAGTGCCAGGGCAGCATCAGTGGGCTGGGCACCAGGGAAACAACTGCCTCTTGGGGGTTGATATTAATTTTACCCCAATGGGGTACACACTGCGCCAAGCTGTTTAACACAGGTGCTGTCAAATGTTCTCTCTGGGGAAGTAAAAATGCAAGGTAAATAAAGCAAAGGCAGGTCCCTTCACCTTCAAGTGATTCCAAAGATGGTCCATGGTTCTCTGGGGTGGCCATACCATGGTCCCAATGTCAAGAACACAGGGGGGCTTATATAATGATGCCCTGTATCACCCCCAAGCCCCAAGTATCTCTGCAAGAAATTTCTGCATTAAAGGTTATCTATGGGAACCTTTTTTTTTTTTTTTTAATATATCCCAGCCAGGCAATATACACTGAAATATAAGAGGGGATCCACCAACTAAGGCATGTCTTACTGGCAAAAGAAAAGAAAGAAATTTCAGTTCTACTAACCTGAGCATCCTGTCTCATGAGAGCATCATCCAGATAATTTCCTTCATCCCTGCCACCCTGAGAAAAACAAAACAGAGAATGAGAGAGTATCCATGAAGACGGTGGTGGGGCACACTGTTAGGACAGAATGTCTGGGAACCCAAGGACATGGTAATTAGAATGCCCACAGAGGTCATACTTCCAGCCTAGGGAGAGAGGGCAGATGTCCTCTGAATGTGTTTGCATTATTCCTGTGGCTCTGGTCTGTGCCTAGAGAACATGACCAACCAGAGCCAGCGGCTCCTTCATGCTGCCTGGGCAGTCTCTGCCAGCAGAAGGGGAAGCAGAGAAACACTGCCTGCTGACTGCTCCCTCCACTGCTGTCTCCTCCCTTTGTCAGCTCACCCCACTCCTATGTCTTCCCAGCTAACTCAAGGCCTTCCTAGCAGGCAAATCTACATTGATCAGTTCTGCCAAATAAGGGCTTGGAACAAAGGAGAATCAAGAGTCTAGGACCAGCCGTGGGGCTTAAGGAGCATGTGAAAACGCCTCACCCCTCACCAACATCAGCTCATGGGAAGGGCAGGGTTGAAGTCTGGGAGGAATGGTAAGGAGTAACAGGCTACTTTCCTCTGGATTGTTAGACTATTTTTTTTAATGATTATTTATTTATTTTTGAGAGAGAGAGAGAGAGAGAGAGAGAGAGAGAAGAGAGAGAGCACGGGGAATGGCAGAGAGAGAGGGAGACAAAATCCCTAGCAGGCTCTGAGCTGTCAGTGCAGAGGCCAATGTAGGGCTCAAACTCATAAACTGTGAGATCATGACCTGAGCTGAAATCAAGAGTTGGATGCTTAACCAACTGAGCCACCCAGGCACCCCTTGTTAGACTACCTCTATTGCTATGCTGTCTCAATATTCTATGGTCTAGGCATGGCTTGGCAGAGTGCTAAATCTGAAAGGCAAAGAACAAAATGGGTTAAGAAATGCCAAGAAATAAGGAGTGAGGAAAAAATAAGGAAACAAGTAAAGCAGGTCAGCATTATTAAGTAAATATCACAGGCAGAGTGTGGTGGGGTTGGAGATGATTTCTGGGGTCCTGCCTTGTTAATATTAACAGAAACAATATTATTGTTTTACAATATTAACAGAAACAATATTATTGTTTTACAATATTAACAGAAGCAATATTATTGTTTTACAATATTAACAGAAACAGGAAGTCAGGAAGATGAGCTGGTTTGGGGGGGAAATGAGTTCAGGTTTAGTTTAGGAGGACTGATTTGAGGTGATTGTAGACTATAAGGAAACACCTTAAAAAGCAGTGAGAAATGAGAGTCCTACACTCAGGAAGGACGTCAGGATAAAGACAAAATTGGGAAGTCATGTGAAATGTCACATGTATGCATCTTCTATTTTCTGGTACCCCTCCTCTCACACTAGCCCAGTCCTGCTTTACTTCTCATCTGGAATACTGAGGTAACTTCCTCCCAGGCCTCCCAGCCTCCAGTTCAACTGATCTTACACAGCACTGTTACATTACTCTTCTAAAAATGCAGTTCACTCCAGCGATCCCAAACCTTTAGCAGCTCCCTACTGCTCTCCCAACAAGGGATCTCAGTTCATCTTTCCACCTTGTTCCTAGAATCACCAACCAACTGCTCAGCCAACAATTCCTTGAACACACCCCACACCCCATGTCCCCTGCCTCCTTGCCTCTTTCTGGCTGTTCTTCCTGCCTGTAACGCACTCACCTATATCAGTGCCTCTTGAAATCCTAGCGACCCTCCAAGTCCTCTCTGAACCAGCACCTCTGCCATGAAGGCTGCTCTTTGTTTCTGCAACCAGACTCTCTCCTTGAAACTTCCTTTTACTCTGTGCTCCTCCTTTGGCACTTTTCATGGCTTTATTATAGCAATCTGTGTACCTGATATATTCCTTTAGGACAACATAAACTTTTAAAGCCTAGAAGTTGTCTCAATGCACTGAGTAGCAAGGGTGCCTGGCATGTATTAGGTACTTATATATATATAAATGTGAATAAATGGGCATGCGTGAGTAGCTAGAGTCTCTAAAAGAGAGAGGATTAAAACAGCAGAGAGGCCCACGAACAACACTTGGGGAATATTCACATCTGGCAGGACGAAAGGATGAGCAAGGCTGGAAAAGGGGATTTGGAGCAAGCATCCCGATAGAACTCAACCCCCATCAGGAGCAGCCCACTGAGGGCGCGACTCACAGCGGACAGAGACACCAGCACCCTCTGGAACATGAATGAAGTGTCAGAGCGAATGTCATCTTCAAGGCTCTTCCCATATTCTGGCAAGAGAGCAAAGTTAGCTGCATCAGAGTAGAGTCCTGTCCAGCGCTGCGTCATGCTCCAGAACCATCTGTCCTCCCCAGGATCAGCCGGTCTACCGAAGCAGTTTGTTATGAGGGTTTTCAACCCCACACACAGTTTTTCCAAAACTGAACGCTTGTAAAATGGTCAAGGCAAGTTTAGCTTGTCATTATAGTAGAAACAATATGTTCCTGGTCCTTAAAATGAAAGGTCAAGAGGGCTGGGGCTGTACTCCTCTTCCTGTAGTTACTACTGTCCAGGAGTCTGCCCCCACCGTGGTTCTCAGTGATGGAAGGAACGGTGACTGTTGACTGGCACATGGAAAGGCAAACAGAGCAGAGTTTCTGAGCCTGTGTTTGGGGACATGCAGGGGGCTGTCAGACCCAAATTCTAGCAGCTTCCCACCAAGATCTTCCCCAGAGAAGCTGAAGCCCTTCACAGCCCTTGGGTAGAAGACCCATTCGGCAGACATGGGGATTGGAGTGTTCGAACGAAGCTCCCAAGGTTTAGTATCTCCTGCCCTGAACACTTACCAAAACTCTTACTGTTTTGTTTCCTTTCTACCAGAGTAGTACATGGAAAACTCAGGGAAAAACAAATAAGTAAAATGGAGGGAAAAAGACTCCACAAAACTCCACCATAATCTAATCACCCAGAAATAATCATTGATACCATCTTGGTGAGTCTCCTTCCTCATTTTTCCTTATATACGTATGTTATTTTTCTTTTATTCTTTTTTTTTTAAGTTTATTTATTGGGGTGAGGGAAGACAGCATGAGCGGGGAAGGGGCAGAGAGTGAGGAAGAGAAAGAGAATCCCGAGTAGGCTCCACGCTGTCAGTGCAGAGCCTGATGCAGGGTTTGAACTCATGAACCACGAGATTGTGACCTGAGCTGAAATCAAGAATAGGATGCTTAACCGACTAAGCCACCCAGGTGCCCCTGTTATTTTTCTTTTTTAAAAAAATGGCATCATAGCGTGCTATTTTATGATTTGTCTTTTTCACTTATCCATATACCATACCATTGAACAGAATTTAATACTATCCTTCAATATACATTTTGATGACTACATAATACTCCATTGTGTGGGTGCACCATATTTTGTTTAGTCAACCTGCTACTGATGGACATATTTAGCTAATATAAACAATACCAAACAAGCACCAAAGGATCTACATCTTTGAGCAGTTTTTTTTTTTTTTTAAATTACATTCTTAGGGCAAAAAGGCATATTATCTTTTAAAGACTCTTCATAAACATCATCCTCTGGAGATTTTTAAGAGGGGAATAAATGGCTATCTTTCTTAGGTGGCTGAAAGTATACAGTCCAGTGTGGAGGTAAGAAGTTGGGCGAGAGAGCCCCTCCAGGGCATTCCCTGAAATGCTAAGATTCATTGGTGCCACCACTTTTGAACAAACATGTTTGATTCTCTGCTTCATAATAAGGAACAACTTTCAGGGTAATAAAACACTGCACTGGCAGTGGCATCTTCACCTAAGAAGTCTTGAGAAGCAAACAGATTGTCATTTGCCTAGACAGGAAACTGCCTAAAAGTGGAGCTTGGAACTAAGGATCCCTCATGGTCAGTGTTTGTAAGAATAAAGTATTTAAAAAAAAATTTTTAATGTTTATGTATCATTTTGAGAGAGAGTGCAGAGAGAGAGAGAGAGAGAGACGCAGAGTGTAGTGGGGAAGGGGAAGAGAGAGAGAGACACAGAATCTGAGGCAGGCTCCAGGCTGTCAACACAGAGCCTGACATGGGGCTTGAACCCATGGACTACAGACCACGAGATCAGGACCTGAGCTGAAGTCAGATGCTTAACTGACTTGAGCCACCCAGGTGCCCCTCTAAGAAGAAAGTTTAATCAGTAGGTAACTACCCACTGCTAGTTTACTTTTCAGATCACAGTGAAACCTCAGTGGGGCCCCTGAGAATGCTACATACGAAGCTGGTAGGTCTGGTTTATACGTCGGATCTCCTCAGGTGTTCGGGAGGCCAGGATCTCAATCAGGCAGCCCTCATCCGTGCCAGCTCCCTAAACACGAAACCCAGAGAAGAGGGAGTTATGAGTCAGTTTATAATATTGAATCCCAGACACAGAGGCATATAACCAGGAATCTGCAGAGAAAAAAGCAACCTATTGGGTTCTAGCAACAGGATTTGCTAATTTTTAAGTTGTCCTGCCCAAATTCCAATGTTTACCATAATCGTTTTTAATAATAACAAACATTTATGGGCTGTTTCTATCAGCTGGTTATCTTGCCAGGTTATGGACAGTGTCTGCCCTCTAGAGGCTTAATCTTTCCTTGACTTCCCCTGTACTTTTTTTTTTTTTTTAATTTATTTGTTTTGAGAGAGAGACCGTGCAGATGTGCATGCAGGGGAGGGGCAGAGAGAGAGGGAGAGAGAGAATCCCAAGCAGGCTCCATGCCTGACACAGGGCTCAATCTCACAACCTGAGATGATATCAAGAGTCCAATGCTTGGGGCACATGGGTGGCTCAGTCTGTTATGCGTCTGACTCTTGATTTTTGCTCAGGTCATCATCTTATGGTTAGTGAGATCGAGCCCCACATGCGGCTCTGTGCTGACACCGTGGAGCCTGCTTGGGATTCTCTCTCTCTCTCCACCCCTCCCCAGCTCATACTCTCTCTCTCTCGCTCAAAAATAAACATTAAAAATTTTAAAAAGAGTCTGACTAAGCCCCCCAGTTGCCTGCCTCCCCCATCCCCGTACTTTTCCTTTGAAAGGCAGAATCTTCTGGCAAAGACTGTTACCTCTTTGCTTTCCCAGAGCCTAGCCGAGAACCTTCCACAAGGCTATTTACTGGCATGTTCGGGGAGGAGGGTAACTGTATTTGAATTTTGTAGTTGGTCATTAAAAACAGTCAGCCTAGGGCTAAGGCACAGTGGATCTAGCACTGAGGGAGGCTGAGAACCCTTTCTGCCAGTAGTGAGCCTCTGGCAGCCCCAGAGGCTCCACTGTGTCAGCCATGAAGTTTCGTGTCTCACAAGCAGCTAACATGACAAGAACGGTCCTGAAGCTGCACCACAAGCACAACTCTAACCACTCCCCGTGGAGCCACAGGAAAGAGCAAATGATTGCATAACTTTATGGAGAACAGCTTTGAAGTTTACAATTGCTATAATGTAATGTCATGTTTTCGAGTTGTCATCAGTGAAGGAAAATCTTTCTCCTGAACTTCTCCCTCCCCACTCCCACAGGGTTTTTGTCACTTTCTTGAGGAAGCTGGTCCGTGGCTGCAGAAGAAGAGGGACACACACCTTCATGGCCCGTCGCAGCTCCTGCACATCATACAGCACGGTGGGCGTCATCATTCCCACAATCACCCGCTCAAAGTTGCCACTCAGTTCCGACTTCAAGTCGTCTATCAGGTCCTGCAAGGCAAGCAAGTGGCTCTGTTTAACTGCCATGCTAACTTAAACCAGCCCGGCCGCTCTCAGAGTGTGGTCCGGGATGCCTGGGGTCTCCAGACTCCTTCAGGAGGCCTGCAAGGTCAGAGCTCTCCTCATGATAACACTTAAGACATTATTTGCCTTTTCACTGTCATTCTCTCCCATTTGTACAGAGGAGTTTTGCAAAGGCTACTTGACATACCTACATTTCTACAATTCTGTTAAAAGGCTATAAAATGCCCTTTTCCAAGTACATATCTGTACAAGACCAGATTTTCTTCCTATACTTCAACCAAAACCATGTATCACAACAAACGATGCAGAAGCATATATGAGAATCCAGCTGTCTTCCATTAAAGCAGGCGTTAAAGAGCTTTGCAAAATGTAAAAGAATGCCAATTTGCTCACTAAATGTTAATGCTTTGGAATATATAGCTATTTTTCATTAAAATGTTATTTATATTAATATGTAATATATGTATTGTTTTTTTAAATAAGTTAACAGATACATATTTTAATGCCTCAGTTTTAATTTTTAGTATGGTAAATATCAATAGATATATTCCACAAAAACAAAAAAAGTCCTCAATAAGAGTGTAGAAGGGTCTTGAGATCAAAAAGTTTGTAGATACTGACTTAAATGTATTCACTCACTTAGCAATATACTTTGAATATATTTTCAAGTCAATAATCACGTATGACATTTTTAACAGCTGCTGAAATTTCTATATGTAGATGCAATATAATTTATTTAATCAGTCCCTTGTTTCTATTTTTGTGCCATTATGTACACACACATTTAGCTATATCTTTGGGATCATTCATGATTATTTCTTAAGATTCAATTCCTAAAAAGAAATGTAATTCTTTGGACAAAGGACCAAATTCTAAAGATGTTCATTTACATTTCCTCCTAGAACAGGTCAGAGAGTTTAAGACCCTGCTCAAGATCAACCAAAATAAGGAGCTGAGATACCGTTTAAGTCAGATCTCTGATTCTCACAAACCTGACTGCACAGCCCTCCCTATATTTCAATCTCTTGTGCATATTTTTAGGTCACATCCACACATAGTGAATGAATGAATGAATGAATGAATGAACAAATAAATTAGGGCTCAACTCATTAATGTTGGTCATCTTAACAAATTGTCATTAGATTAGCTTAGTTCTGAGGCTAACTATTCCAGTTCACGCATTACATGCATGTTCACACTCGTTTATGCTCAGTAAAGGACTCTGGGATGGAGAAGAGTTTCAAATGCTCAAAAGATAGTCTGAGCTATGAATGATCCCACTCCCTACTGGGGTCCCAGCCAAGGTTTGCTTGCAGATGTGCTGGGGAATGCTGAGCCAGCTCTGTCCCAGCCAGGAGCTTAGGGCCAGTCTTCGAGAAACAGCTGCAGTCTGACTGGCTGTAAGGTTCTCCAGGATAGAAATTTTTATCAGAGTTACTGTACTCTGAGACCTAGAACACTCATTGATAACATTTCCTCACTCAGTAAAAAGATTCACCACACAGACAGGTTTTCAGTGATGAGGAAAGATTGGGTGGAATGGCTCTGGTGAGTGAATTATTGAAAACAAGAGTTTGAAATAGGGTCCCCCGGGGGTGCAGGATTCAAACCAGAAGGGGTGAGTGAACACCCCATGAATCCATAAGCTAACAAATTATATACATAGTCACAACCCCATTCTAGAATTTGAGGGGGTGTCCCCCAACTGAGAATCATCAAAGGAATGATGGGTTTATGTGGAAGAGTCAAAATAGACTAAATCCTAGGAGAGCCTATTCAAAACAAACTAGATTTAAATACTGCTTTATCCACCGTGGCCTAAAAGAAGGCTGACCAGGATCAGGAAAGCAACGCTGGAGGCTCAGCCCTGCCTGGCTCACAAGGGCGGTGGTGGAATCCACTGAGCAACCAAGTCCCTACAAGAGGCTGGGTGGGAAGACACCAAGGTTGGCTTGAGCTCTGGGAACCAAGGGCTCCCAGAAATCACTCCTGGCTAAGGACAGTGGAGGTAACATGCTGAAACTGTTTTTTCTTAAGAACATCTTTAAATGAGGCAAGGGTCCACCTTTTGAAAACACAAGGCCACTTCCAGAGTCTAGATCGGGAAGAGACCCCGAGAGGCTGCGGCCTACCCTGCCGATGGTGGTCTTATAGGCCGTCCTGATTTCCTGGCGCTGGGCCGTGCTGCGGTAGGCAAGGACGCTGATGATGGCATCTTCGTCGGTGCCTGGCAGAGAGCGGGGACAGTGAGTGAGGTGCTTTGAGAGAGGAATGAGAAAACAGGTTCCTGCGAGGACACTGGCGTTACCCAAACTTACACCTTTTTAACAAAAGAGGTCCTTGTTCGGTAGGTTTGTCTATTTTTGGGGGGAACCAGACACTAGATGTGAGTCTTAGCCCTCCTTTAATCAACTTTTTACCACTGAACAAAGAAGCTAACTTGTCTGAGCATTAGTTTCCTTACCCGTAAATGTAAGTGATCATAGCACTTTCCCTTACAGAGCTGCTGCAAGCGGTCAATAAAACAAGCACGTGACTTCCTTAGCACAATGCCCCACAGTTACTAAATATTCACTAAATGCTGACTGGCATCGGGCTTTTGCCCCTCCTCTGCAATTCTCTTCATGTCTTTTGTTCTCCTGGATCTTCTATGTTCTTGCCTTTTCTCTCCTCATTTTTTAAAAAAGTTTATTTATTTTGAGAGAGCGAGCGCACGCATGTGCAAGTGGGGGAGGGGCAGAGGGAGAGGGAAAGAGAATCCCAAGTAGGCTCCACATTGTCAGTGCACAGCCAGACAAGGGGCTTGAACTCACGAACCAAAAGATCATATCCTGAGCTGAGCTTGGAAGCTTAAGTGACTGAGTCACCCAGTTGCCCCTTCTCTCCTTATTTTTAATCTTGTTATCATTTCCTCTGAGTTTGGAAACAATTCAGACTCTCACTCAGCACTTTGCAGTTTTTTTTTTAAATTTCAGTATAATTAACATATAGTATGACATTAGTTTCAGGTGTACAATATAGTGATTCAACACTTCCATACATCAGTGAGTGCTCATCACTAGCACACTCTTAATCCCCTTCACCTATTTCACCTGGCAGGGTTTTATGGGTTGCTCATTGCATGCACTGTACTTAGAGATCCATAAATGTGTTTTTCATTTCAAAGCTCTCTTTCCTGACCTCAGATGGTTCCCTTTTTATAACTGCTGAGGAGTTCCCACCACGCAATATCCTATCAAAACTTTATAATGAGAATTACAAGTTTTCAATGGCTTAAATTTTGCCTGCCTGTTTCTTGAAGCAGCTTTTACCAGGGGAGTCGGGGGGGGGGGGGGCTTTATTCTGATTTTTCAAAACTGGTGCCTCGTCTTAGTAACAGCTAGATGTTCATGTATGTTGGGTGAGTTTTCTGCTTCCCCATGGTTCATCCTGTATGGGGAGTTGTGATGGACTAGAGAAGAACTTCTATTGGGATATTTCAGAGAGAAATGAAAAAAATATAGATTTACCAGAGTCATTCTTTGCAAGCTTAGAGATCCAGAAAAGTGCAAGCTATAGGGAGGAAGCTGTAAAACTTTGTTTACACATCTTAGGGACCTACTTTCTGTTCTCTTAAAAAGAAGAAGAAGGAAGAAGAAGAAGAAGGAAGAAGAAGGTGGTGGCGGCGGATGAGGAGGGGGAGGAGAGGAGGAGGAGGAGAAGAAGGAGAAGGAGAAGGAGAAGAAGTATAGTACATACAACCATCCTGTTCTCCTTCAGAACTTTCAGCGGGAAAAGGTCCATTTTATGCCCACCCCTGTTTCTGTAAAAAACACCATTTTTCTTCTTTCAGTCAGTCAAGTTTGAACCCTCAAAACAGCTTTGATTTTTTTTAATTTTTTTTTTAATTTTGAGAGGGAGAGAAAGGAGCAAGTGCACAAGCAGGAGAGAAGGGCAGAGGCAGAGAGAGAGAATCTCAAGCAGATTCCATGCTCAGCACCGAGCCTGAGGTGGGGCTCAACCCCATGAACTGTGAAATCATGACCTAAGCAGAAATGAAATCAAGAGTCAGCCACCCAGGTGCCCCATAGCTTTTTTTTTTTCTTTTCTTTTTTTTTTTTTTACTGCCCTCTCATCCTCCACATTCAAATTTCTTGCCAAGACATACAAAATCTAACTCTAAAATCTTTTTTGCATCTGCCCCCTCTTTGATTCCTACCACTACCACTCCAATTCAGGATTTTAGGGTCTTAGACAACTGCAAAGTCTGCTAACTGGTATTCTTACCTCCCTCCTAATTGGTCTTTCCAAAGTCTTGTCAGATTCATTTTCCTATAAAGAAAAACTCTGATGGTGTCTCTCCCCTGCTCAGGAATACACAAGGGCTCCCCACTGTCTGCTGGATTTACTACAGGAATGGCAGTCTGGCACTTGAGACTTTCTGCAATATCCCATTCGCTATTGTAACTATCCACACGAAAGGATACCAGGCAGCCAAATTCACAGACTTAGCTCCTCAATTATTATACTTGATCCAACTGTACTACACTCCTTTCTCCTGACCTCCTTCATTCCCAGTCTACTGGTTTGTATGTCTCCCTAATTGTTCCACGTAGTGTCATGATTGTGGCACTGGTTTCCTGGCCAGTGCCTTTGGGCCATCCCCCCCATGCCTATGATTCTACAGATGGTCTTCTCAATAGCAACCCCAGGACCTCCCTTTGGTAGCAGCCACCTCCTGCTTTGCAAATACCTCCTGCCACAAGCCACCTTTCTGTGTATTTACTGTGACTCCCCCTAAGCCTCAGCTAAACTGGAAAATGGGACAGTGCTCACACTCACCCCATGCCCTTTGCTTATGCTATTCCACTCACCCGAAACACATTCTCTCTTATCTCTACTGAAACAACTTATCTCCCAAAGTCCCTCTCAAATTCTGCATCCTCCAAGAAGTTTTGCCTGATGCTCCCAAATTAAATGCGATCTCCTTTCTGAACCTAGTGGGATCTTATTTGCACCCCTCCTATCACTATCATATTGTGATAGATATTATATTATTATAGTTGTTTCCATGCATGCCTTACCCATCTAGCATCCATGGACTAGCTGACTAGGTTCTTTTTTTTTAAGTTTTTATTTACTTATTTGAGAGAGAGAGCGGGAGGGAACGAGTGGGGGAGGGACAGAGTGAGAGGGGGACTGAAGGGGCTCTGTGCTGACAGCAGAGAGCCTGATGCGGGGCTCGGACCCACTAACTGAGATCATGACCTGAGCTGAAGTCAGAGGCTTAACTGACTGAGCCACCCAGGCGCCCCTGGACTAGGTTTTAAAATGCTTGTCTCCTCCAACTGTCTGCCTTGCATTGGTCCACACAGCAGACACTGACAAGAATTGGCTATCAAATGTCTCCTGACTTTTATTTTGAGAATTCTGAATGGCATGTGGTCCACATTCTGAACTATAGTGTTCTTGCTATATACCAAAGAAGCAGGATAACATGGAAAAAGGATGGGCCATGGACATTTTCCATCTTATTTATGAAGAAGGGAAAATGAGAAGGACGTTAGATTCAGAACAATCTGTTCAGAGGTGGGCAGCAGGATAGTATAGTGACGTAAACTACAGCTCTGGAGTCAGACTGCCTAGGTCTGACTGCCTGGAATTGCCTAGAAACCTGACTCTAACACTTACTAGCTCCGAGATGTTGGGCACATTAGCTAACCTCATTACCTAACCTCTCTAACTCTCAACTTCCCATCAGTAAAACAAACTGTTGATTGTTATAATCCCCATAATGTGTTTGTAGATAATCTATGTAATGCATTGTGTCTGATGCATAGTAGAATTTAATAAACATTCTCTATTATTGTTGTTGTCGCTGTTGCTGTTAGTAACACTGGGGCTAACTAAAATGAGCTCTTTGGGAGGAGAAAAATTGGGAAATAAAGTTGTGTGACCAAATGTTTTTATCCAAATATCTCAAGGAGATTATAATAGCAGCTACAAACCATGGGCACTTCTCTGGCCAAATGTCCACCCAGGCAAGAGGCTAACCCAGGGCAGCCTGCGGTATGCCCACATGACTACACCCACCAGAGGCCTCTGCCTGCTGTGGCTTCGTTCCACTTCTTAGGTGACTTAACTTCTCTGGGTCTCAGTTTTACATCTGTGAAATGGGGTGAAAATAACAATAGCAATAGACGCTTTCACTAAATTACTGGGTTGTTGTGTATACCCATTGAAATAATATTTGTGAAAGTGCTTTGTAAACCTTACGACACTGTACATGTACGGCACTAATTGGAAAACAAATACATTTCTGAAGTTTTACATATAGATTCATATGGTTGTAATGCAAAACAGATTTAAATAATTTGGGCAATCCAGAATGAGTGCCTTAAATGTTAAATTCTGTAATATGAGTAATTAATGTCCTCCTGTCCCATTTGTCTTGAAAAGCCAACTTGTTCCCACTGTATTTTCTTAGAGACCTACTCATTTTTTTTGCCAGTGGACACAGCACCCTTTGTGTGACTCTGTGATATACAACACACAAGAGAGTGTTTACCCCCATGGGACACTTACCAAGCCCCTTCATGGCCTTCCTCAGGGTTTGGGCATCTTCGGTGGCACTGAATCCTGAAGCAGCTTTGACGGTGCCTCCTTTGGATGCCTGAGCACACAGAGAAAGATGTGACTGAGAGCCATCAACTCATTCAGCACATACCTGCTGAGCACCTACCATGGGTCAGACACTATTCTAGCTGCTGGGGATATGGCAGTGAGCGTGAGAGATGAGGCAAAATTAAACTACTGGGACTGCACCGAAATAAAAAGCTTTTGCACAGTGAAGGAAACCACCAATAAAACAAAGCCACAACCCACTGAATGGGAGAAGATATTTGCAAATGATATGTCTATTAAGGGGTTAATATCCAAAAAATATACATTGTTTATTCAACTCAACACCAAAAAAAAAAAAACAAAAAAACAAAAAACAAAAACAGAACACCAATAAATCCAATTAAAAATGGGCAGAAGACATGAATAGACATTTTCCCAAATAAGACATATGTATGGCCAACAAACACAAGAAAAGATGCTCAACATCACTCATCATTAGGGAAATGCAAATCAAAACCAAAACAAGCTATCACCTCACACCTATCAGAATGGCTAAAATTAAGAACACAAGAAACAACAAGTGTTGGTGAGGATGTAGAGAAAAAGGAACCCTCATTGCTGCTGGTGGAAATGCAAACTGGTACAGCCCCTGTGGAAGATAGTTTGGAGGTTCTTCAAAAAAGTAAAAATATAACTACCATATGATCCAGTAATTCCACTACTGTTATTTATCCAAAGACTGAGAATATTAATTGAAAAAGATATATGCACCCTATGTTTACTGCAGCATTATTTACAATAGCCAAGATATGGAATCAACCCAAGTGTCCATCCATATAGATGAATGGATAAAAAAGATGTGGTATATATAATGCAATGGAATGTTACTCAGCTATAAAAAAGGAATGAAATCTTGCCATTTGCAGCATGGATCTAGACAGTATTATGTTAAGTAAGTCAGTCAGAGAAAGACAAATACTATAGATGCCACTCACATGTGGAATTTAAGAAACAAATGAATGAACAAAAAAACAATCTTAACTCTAGAGAACAAACTGATGGTTACCAAAGGGGGTGGGGGATGGGGGAAATAGGTGAAAGGGATTAAGAGTACTCTTATTATTATGAGTACTGAGTAAAGAATTGTTGAATCACTATATTGTACACCTGAAACAAATGTAACACTGTATGTTAATTATACTGGAATTTTTAAAAATAAATACATAAAAAATAAAAATTAGTTAGCCTGACCCTCTTCAAATAAAAATTAAAAACTAAAAACATCAGCAAACAAAACACAGGCTAATGACCAGTAGGGACCATCTCAGTTGGATTATGATTTAGAGATAATTTACTGATTAAGATCAAGGTGCCCTGGATATTGTGAATGTATTTACTGATGTATTTATATGTGATTTATGTGGTGGAAGGTAGTGTAGAGAAATACATATAACTAAATATAAAAAATAAATAAGTAGTTGTGGAAATTTAGTGACAGGGTATAAAACACAGAAAACTAAGGTGAAACTAGGGAGGTGGGAAGGAAAACAATGCAAACCTTAAGAGCCTGTGTAGTTGTTAGAGGGAAGCCACAGATTTTTCTGCACAGAAGCCAAAGTAAGAGGGAATTGTAATCGGCAATGAGACTCACTGGGTCTATAAAAGGAAAAGAGACCAGTTGTCCAAGAAACGCCCAGCTTCTCTTTGTACTGAGTTTACAGAGAGGACATCTGCATTACTAGAGCTCTCTGGGCTCCCTGATTTAGCAGTAGGGGGTAGAATCAAACTAGCTTTGGTTTTAAATATATCTTTCCCTCTGTGTCTGACACTAAGCATTATAAAGGCCTTTAGCAACCTATGTTTTGATATTCTGAATTCTGTTTTCTTTTCTTTAAAAATGACCTAATTAGGGTGCCTCAGTGGCTCAGCTGGTTAAATGTCTGACTCTTGGTTTCGGCTCAGGTCATGATCTCATAGTTTGTGGGTTCGGGTCCTGCATCAGACTCCGTGCTGATGGTGCAGAGCCTGCTTCAGATATTCTCTCTTCCAGTCTCTCTGCTACTCTCCCACTTGCTCTCTCTCTCAAAATAAATAAATGCAATAATTTTTAAATGACCTAATTACTCATAACAGCACTAAAATTGTTCTGCCTCATCTCCTTTCCTTTAGTTAATCTGTCAGGTGTCTGCCATTATGGTGTGCATTTGATTGGCTTAGATTGCAATGGAGAAGGATCTAAGTGATATTCTTTTTTTTTTTTAAATTAAAAACTGTATATTTATTTATTTTGAGAGAGAGAGCATGCATGCAAGCAGGGGAGGGGCAGAGAAAGAGGGAAAGAGAAAAAGAATCCCAAGCAGGACGTGGGGCTCTAACTCATGAACCATGAGATCATGACCTGAGCCAAACCCAAGAGTCAGCCTCTCAACGGAATGAGCCACCCAGGCAACCCTAAGTGATATTCTTGGTGCCCAGATGTCAATAGAGTTTACACTGAGATAAATACCTTCCTTTGTCCTTAGCTGGTGCTATGTGCTTTTAAGATGCTAAGAGCTCACAAGCTGAGGGTAAGAAGAGATAGCCAAGGCTAAATTTAGGGCTCAGGTCACATAGTAAGTCTAGTTTTCCTGACTTTCCTGATAATGCCCCTTTTGTTAAATGGTGGTAGGATGTTATGGCGATGGGAGGCAATAGAACAGGGAGATGATATGAATTACTGCAAAGGGAGAAAGGTATTACATCTCATATAAGCCTTGGTTAAAATGTACCCATAGCCTTGTGCCCATGATCCAGTAAAATCTAATATTCATGGAGACAATTCTGTCTCTTCTACATCACTCTGGGGGTCACAAACACTACAAAGGGAATTCTAATATTGGGGGAGATTTCATTTGTGGGTACTTTGCAAAGGGGACACCATGGGCTACAGTGAGGGGTAGTAAAGCTTAGTAGGAGGGACACAGACATCGGAGTGGGGATAGACCTGGCTTTGAGTCTTGGCTTCAACCCTTTCTAGCTATGTTGTCTATAGGGGAAGTTTTATTTTTCTCACCTGCACATTAAGAATAATGATATCCACTCACACAGTTGTTGTAATAATGAAGCAGAATAATATAACAAAGCACCTAGCACAGAGTCCAGCAAACAGAATACCCTAAAACAAAAACTCAAACTCAATGGCTATCATCATCACCACTATTATTAAATATGACTTAGGGGCGCCTGGGTGGCTCAGCCGGTTAAGCGGCCGACTTCGGCTCAGGTCATGATCTGAGGTCATTGAGTTGAGCCCGCATCGAGACTCTGTGCTGACAACTTGGAGCCTGGAGCCTGTTCCAGATTCTTGTGTCTCCCTCTCTCTGACCATCCCCCGTTCATGCTCTGTCTCTCTCTGTCTCAAAAATAAATGTTAAAAAAAAAAATATGACTTCAACAACATCTCTACAGTAAATAGAAGAGTGAGATTCTTATATCTATTTCTGACAATATCTCTTAACGTAAGCTTATGTGTCAATGATGCCAAAGCAAAATCAAATTGAGCATCTGTACAGGTAGCAAAAACAGTGTAGAATATATCTAAGGCTCTCTGATGATTTAACTTGATCCAAAGATATAACATCGACCATCTAAAAGGATAGAGGCGGTGCCTGGGTGGCTCAGTCAGTTAAGTGTTCGACTTCAGCTCAGGTCATGATCTCACAGTCGTGAGTTCAAGCCCTTCATCCAGCTCTATGCTGACAGCTCAAAGCCTAGAGCCTGCTTTGGATTCTGTGTCTCCCTCTCTCTCTGCCTCTCCCCCACTGCGCTCTGTCTCTGTCAAAAAAAATGAATAAACATTAAAAAAAAATTTAAAAAGAGGAAGCCTGGGTGAAGCGCCAGTCAGTTCGCGTCCGACTTCAGCTCAGGTCGCGATCTCGCGGTCGATGAGTTCGAGCCCAGCGTCAGCTTTCTGGGCTGATGGCTCCCTTACCTGGAACCTGTTCGATTCTGTGCCTCCCTCACCTACTCTCTCTGCCCCTCCCCGTTCATGCTCTGTCTCTCTCTGTCCCAAAAATAAATAAACGTTGAAAAAAAAAAATTTTTTTTTAAATTAAAAAAAAATAAAGGAATAAAAGATTTTTATGCCCTTAGGGTGGTTCTCTAGTAAGTCAGACTTTGATCACTGTGGCTTACATCAAGTCCATCCAAAGGCCTTAGGTACCAGAGAGTGTGGGCCTTATCTGCTGAAAATCCAAACTTTCACCTACTATATTTATCTAGATATCTAGGTAAAATGCTAGATATATTATATATCTAATATAATCAGCATCTAATACTTAGTCACCTCCCTCTATACACCTGACAGAGGGAAGTAGAAATCAATGAAATTAACTTCCTTGGGCACTATTACAGGCTGAATTGTAACCTCCCCGAAAGATATGTTGAAGTCCTAACCCCAGCATCTCGGAATGTATCCTTATTTGGAAATAGGGTCATTGCAGATGTAATTAATTAAATTAAGATGAGGTCATTCTGGGGGCGCCTGGGTGGCGCAGTCGGTTAAGCGTCTGACTTCAGCCAGGTCACGATCTTGCGGTCCGTGAGTTCGAGCCCCGCGTCAGGCTCCGGGCTGATGGCTCGGAGCCTGGAGCCTGTTTCCAATTCTGTGTCTCCCTTTCTCTCTGCCCCTCCCCCGTTCATGCTCTGTCTCTCTCTGTCCCAAAAATAAATAAAAAACGTTGAAAAAAAAAATTTAAAAAAGATGAGGTCATTCTGGAGTAGGGTCATTCTGGAGAGCCCCTAATCCAACATGGTTGGTGTCCATATAAGAAGAAGGCATTAAAAAAAAAAAAAGAAAGAAAAAAGAAAAAACCATGGGCACCTGGGTGGCTCAGCTGGTTAGGCATCCAACTTCGGCTCAGGTCATAATCTCATGGCTTGTGAGTTTGAGCCCCACATTGGGCTCTGTGCTGACAGCTCAGAGCCTGGAGCCTGCTTCGGATTCTGTGTCTACCTCTCTCCCTGCCCCTTGCCTACTCATGCTCGCTCTCTCTCTCTCTCACAAAAATAAGTAGACATAAAAAAAATAAAAGATTAAAAAAAAAAAGAAGACGGCACATGACGACACGCACAGGAGTTAAGCAGCAGAAAGCCAAAGGATGCCTAAGACTGCCAGCAAACCACCAGAAGCTAGAAAGAGGCAAGGAAGGAGTTCCCTACAGGTTTTAGAGGGATCCTGGCCATGGCAACACCTTGATTTTGGGTTTCTGGCCTCCAGAACTGTGAGACATCCAATTTCTATTATTTTAAGCCACCCAGTTTGTAGGACTTTGTTATGGCAGCCCTAGGATATGAATACAGGTACTTTAATTCTTCTAGTGTGTATCAGTAGCAACAAGCAAACTGGTGATTTGCTGTCAAAATTCCAACATGGCCTAACTTAGCCGCTGGCTCCACTATGAGACAGCTTTCCGAGTGAAATACTCCACAGGGTTCTTTTGGAGCTTCAGTATTGAAAAAATTTTGGATGGTGCCCAAACTCTGCAGTCGACTTTAACACAAACTGCATTGCTGAGGGACGTTACTGTGGGATTAAAACTAATATCTAACAAGATGAATCGATGGAGGGATTTGCAAAGATGTTTCAGCTTATCAATTAACATTCTTAGTGACTCATTCTTCCCGGAAAAAGATAAACTGAGAAAATTTGTTCTGGTTAGCCCTAAAGTCACTGTATTGATCAAATTCCAAGGCATAATGTACTATTATCCGTTCTGGGAAGCCAAAGGAGTCTCAGGAGGGATTCTTGTGGCAGCAAAGGAAACAGGGGTGATGTAGGAAAGAATAACAAAAATGAGCAGCTAGAAACAGGTGTTAGATCACAATCAATGAAATATTATTCAGTTATTACAATAATCAGGAAGGTAATAATGTCAAAAACTGGAATACAATACACTGGCATATTGCAGGTTCACAACCTCCTCAGGAGCTTTCTGGGTATAATCTGAAACCTAGCCCCACAGGCAGAGAGCAGGCAGAGACTGAAGAAAGAGGCAGGCCCCTCCACGTCTGTAGGTGGCCCTTTTAACATTAGCAAAAGGAACTTACATATGAGGCTCGTCTTGGGCTGCAGCAAGACAAACTGATCCCTGCACTCATCCTCCAAATCTTAAAACTTTATAAAGAGGTCCTAAATGGGCTCAGTCACATACACTGTGCAGCTGTCTTCAACACATTGCCATCTCAGGGCTATATCCTTGGAGCAGCCTCTGGGAGCATAAGTGGGACCCACATTCCAAAAGCAGGGGAAGGAGTGAGGAGCCTTCGATTGGCCAGGTCCAGCTTATGGGTCAGTCAGTGGTCATGTCTTTTTTGAAGATGATCCCCCAACAAATACTAATCAGCAATAAAAAAGGAATCAAGGAACAAACTGCTGATACTTACAGCAACAAGGATGGATTGCCAAAAATATAACACCCAGCAAAAGAAGCCAGACGTAAAAGAGTACATATTCTATGATGCCATTGATAGAATGCTCTAGAACAGATGAAGCTAATCTATGATAATAACAATCAGAAGAGAGGTTACATTTCTGGGGTGGAGAGGAAGTAGCATGGGAACTGACTCAGAAGAGCATAAATGAACTTCCTGGAGTGAGGAAATGTTCTAGCTTCTTTAAAAAAAAAAAGTTTATTTATTTATTTTGAGGGGAGGGAGGGCATGAGCAGGGGAGGGGCAGAGAGACAGGGAGATAGAGAGAATTCCAAGCAGGCTCTGCACTGACAGCACAGATCTATGCAGAGTTCAGTCCTACAAACCGTGAGATCATGACCCAAGTTGAAATCAAGAGTTGGATGTTTAAGCAACTGAGCCACCCAGGTGCCCCTGTTCTATCTATCTTGATAGAGGAGTAGGTTATATGGTCCATATATTTGTCAAAACTCATCTACCAGTAACCTTAAGAGTGGTGCATTTCACTATATGTAAATTAAACATTTTAAAAATCTTTTAAATATTTGAATACGGTAGCTTTAAAAATTTTTTTTTAACGTTTATTTATTTTTGAGACAGAGAGAGACAGAGCATGAACAGGGAAGGGTCAGAGAGAGAGGGAAGCACAGAATCTGATACAGGCTCCAGGCTCTGAGCAGTCAGCACAGAGCCCAACACGGCACTCGAACTCATGGACCTCGAGATCATGCCCTGAGCCAAAGTCAGACGCTTAACCGACTGAGCCACCCAGGTGCCCCTGGTAGCTTTTAAAATATATTCTCAGAGCACCTGGGTGGCTCAGTCAGTTGAGCATTCAACTTCATCTCAGGTCATGACCTCATGGTTCGTGGGTTCTAGCCCCGCATCAGGCTCTGCACTGACAGCTCAGAGCTTGGAAGCCTGCTTTGGATTCTGTGTCTTGCTCTCTCTCTCTCTGCCCCTCCCCACCTTATGCTCTCTCTCTCAAAAATAAAATAAACACAAAAACATTTTGTTTTTAGAAATCATATGGTCATTGTAGAGATTTGGGAAATTAAAAAAAAAGAATTAAGAAGAAAATGAAAACAGCCATAATTCCACCATCTAGAATAAATGATTTTAATATGCCACAAAATATAATATAAACATGTTAGCAAAGTGAAGATTATAATGAATACATAATTGTTATTGATGCTTATTACTACTGTTTGAAAATTATTACACATGTGAGTAGGATCTAAAATAAAATGATGGACAACAATTGGGAATTACAATATTGTGACTATGTTGTGTTTTTCCTACTCTTTAAAAATGTCTTTTATCTGTCCAATAAATAACAGCGATGATGGAAAACAGGCCCTAGGAGGAAAGATGAGAGCAACTGAGGTAATTTTCCTCGAGTGGAAAGCACACTAAAAGGTCACTTGGTTACAGGCTTTGCATATCGGAAGCCTGTGAGCTTATTGCAGACAGAAAGACTGTCCCATTAACTTTGAGTCCCCTGAGCCAAGTACCACATCTGGCACAAAGTCAGGACACCGTAAAACTTTCTTTTTTTAAATTTTTAATTTTTTTTTATTTCCGAGAGAGAGATAGAGAGCAAGTGGGGGAGGGGCAGAGAGGTAGGAAGACACAGAATCTGAAGCAGGCTCCAGGCTCTGAGCCGTCAGCAAAGAGCGGAGCTCGAACCCACCAACGGCAAGATCATGACCCGAGCCAAAGTCAGATGCTTAACCGACTGAGCCATCCAGGCACCCCTAAAGGAAATGAATTTTAAAATAATGCATAGAGGGGCGCCTGGGTGGCTCAGTCGGTTGGGCGTCCGACTTCAGCTCAGGTCACGATCTCGCAGTCCGTGAGTTCGAGCCCCGCGTCGGGCTCTGGGCTGATGGCTCAGAGCCTGGAGCCTGTTTCCGATTCTGTGTCTCCCTCTCTCTCTGCCCCTCCCCCGTTCATGCTCTGTCTCTCTCTGTCTCAAAAATAAATAAACGTTAAAAAAAAAATTAAAAAAAAAAATAAAATAAAATAATGCATAGAGATTTGGAGTAGATATGAGCAAGGTTTTGACTGTCAGGGATGATGAAGAAAATTGTAGAATGTCTAATGTCAAACAATGTTATGAGTCTATTACCAGTTGTTCAAGATAGTTTACACGTCTATCTTCCTAAAGGAGGCCATTTAACGCTGGTGGAAACTCTGGGCCTCTCCAGGTGTAAGATTCTATTGCTATTATTTCTGCTGAGAAGACCAGGAACCAGAACCACCTGCCTGTTCAGATAACCTTATTTGGGTGGGAGAAGGAGAGCAGATAGCCAGCCTCAGGTAGAGCCTATTTGCAGCTAGGAGGCTCAGCTTCCACAACAGCATTGAACTTTGTGGAACTCTCAAAGGGATCCAATTCCCTGCCTGTCCCAAAGATCAGATAATGAAACTCTGAGGAGTCCAGTCACAGCCAAAAACAGGAGGCAGATGACAAGACCATATGGCTAACAAACACCCTTGATAAGCCTGATGAGGTTACACCAAAATGTGAATGGCACTTGTCTCCCAAAGGTAGAACCTGTGGGGTTTTTATTTTTCTTTTTTATTTGCAGAAAATTCCTAAAATGAACATGTAGTACCCCCGCAGAGATAAAACTACAACTTATTTCTGTATCTCAGGATGTCAGACAGATTAAATGGATTATCTTTTGAATTAATTTTCAGGGTCAAATTACTCACCACCCCTGAAAGAAATTAAAATAGTGCTTAAAAAAAAAAAAAGGAAAGAAAGAAACTGCCTTTTCATTTCCTTCTCTCTCCCCTCTGTTAAGCAAACAATCCTCTGTAAAGTCAACAGTCCCTGCATACACATCCTGTACCTGTCTGTGCCTGGCACCAGGTAGGGTGAGGCACTCCCCAACTTACCATGGCCGTGACTCTAGATCAGGATCAGAGTTCAGTCACCCAAGCAGAAGTTCCTCTGTGATAAAAGCAGAGGGGAAATTACCGTGATGAGAGATGTAGCATTAAAATCATTAAACAGGATAACTTGTAGTTTACACAAAGTTAAACAATTAGGAAATAGCATCCACTTTCATCAGAAGGCCAGCTGTTGATTAGCCAAAGATAGAAAGGTCAGGGTAATAATTAAAGACAAACTGCTCAAACAGGCAAATGTATCACTCCGACAAAATACTTCCCTACCTGCTCTTCTGTTTGGAGATAACACATTACAGAAGTGATTGCTATTGTTTGTTAGGATGAAGTATATTACTTGTACTCAAGCCATACCTGGATTCTGAACTGTAAGCTCTAGTGGAGAAGAGGTGTCTCCTTGGAGAAAAGATAATCCAATTGCATTAGGGAGAAGTATCGCACTCCAACCCACACTCTGTGCGTGTGTGTATGTGTGTGTGCGTGTGTGTGATGGCCAGTGGCCCAGCCAACATTAGGCTTGTCATTTCCAGATGACCCCTCCCTGCCGCTATCTCAGGACGTACAGGTGCTTCTTCCCTATACACTCAGCTTTGTGCTTGGTTCTCTTCAGCAAGGTCGCTCAGATCTTCACACATGTACTCAGTCATTCAAAAGGCAAGGAGGGCCTTGATTGTAGGCTACGAGTCCTGGCCTCATGATAGATAGGCAGGTCTCTGAGGGATAGGCCAACTGACTTCCTGTTTCCATATCTGAGTCCTATGGGAAAGGTTTCTTTCCTAAGCATTTTGTTAGCTCCCTGATCCTCAAAAGAATCATCCTGGAACCATAAGCATGGGCATCATCTGGGAGCAGTCTCGGGCCCCCACTCCACGCCTACTGCCAGAATCTGCATTTTAACAAAATTCTCCCAATACCTGTCTGCACAGTAGTTTGAAAAGCATTGGCCTAGATCGCCCTACCAAGCAGCACTTTTCAATTATTCCCTGAGAATAACTAAATCCTGCTTAACCCATTTTATTACCAATTGAGTCAGGTCTGTTCACCACTTCTTATCTTGCAGCTCTCCTGAGGCTCAGCACCATTCTTCCTTGTCTCCCATCACTCACTGCACACTTCCCTTAGAGCTACATAGGGGCTCAATTCCTTCCTGAGGGGAATGCCAACTTCTTCTGGGGCACAGCCTGAGCAAAGGTGCAGAGGAGGGAATGAGCTGTGGCCTCAGGGACAATGAAGAGATGAGGCTGCTGGAGCAGAGGTCTCATTTGAGGGAAGGTTCAGAGATAAGGTTGGAAAAGCAGGTGGGGATTGATTAGGCAAGGCCTCCTATGCCCAACTGAGGAGTCAGACTTGATCTGTAGGTAATGGTAAGTAAAATAGTGGAAAGGTTTTGGTTTTTGCAGAGAAATGATATAACAAAAGGCATGCTTCAGCAAGGCTCTATTCTACAGGGTAGACAGGAGTGAGAGGAAGGTCAGGAAATCTTGAGAAAGCACTAAGGAACAGACAGACAGAGTTAGAGGCCTGGGCAGGGTGTGGCACCTGGAACAGGATATATATGGAAAATATTTGGAAGAAATTCTGTACTGGATTTTGTGGCTCACGGTCTATATGAATTTATTCATTCAATCACCAAACTTTCATAAAGTATCTCTATATTCTAGGCACTATTCTAGTTGACAGAGATAATATAGCGAATAAGACAAAGAATGTGACTTCAAGGAGCTTTCAAGGAAAGACAGATGACAAACAAATAAATAGGATAATTTCAGATCAGTAAGATGAAAATACAACGGGACAATGCTATAGAACAGGGATCAGCAAACCACAGCTCATGGGCCAAATCTGGTTTTTGTATGGCCTACAGGTTAAGAATGGTTTTTACATTTTCAATGGTGGACAAAAAGTTAAAAGAATAATATTTCATGACACATGAACATAATATAAAATTCAAATCTCAGTGTTCATAAATACTTACTGGAGCGTGGTCACACCCATTTATTTACATATTATCTATGGCTGCTTTCAGGCTACAGTGAGAGTTTGTGACAGACTATATGGCTCATAGAGCTGAAGATATTTAATACCTGGCCCTTCACAGAAAAAGTTTGCTGAATCCTGGGTTGGAAGATGATGTGATCAGGTTACTGAGAAGGAGCTAGCCTGGACAGGGTGACCAGGGAAGTCATCTTCAAGAAGATGATACTTGAGCTAAGACCTGAATGAGGAGAAGAGGCTCACTATTCAAAGTGCTCGAGGAGAACTATTGCAGGCAGAAGAAACAGTTAATGCAAAGGCCCTGAGGCAGCAATGAAGTGACTGTGTTAGAGGAATGAGCAAAAGCATCATGAACAAGGACCAGAGTGGCATGAGATGGGGTTGGAGTAGAGACAAGACTATCTATAGGGGACAGGAAGGGGTATTTCTTGTCTGTCCAGAATGTGCCAGGGGAAGCTATGAGCAGGGCTCTTTGAAGCTTAGCCTCAAATTTGTCTGGAGGTCTTGTTTCATATCCTATGAATAATCAAAATGTGCCCATATCTCTCATTAAGTATAATTTATATGTGAGTTGGATTGAGCTTCTGCTAATCTGTGGACAACCTAGCAGACCCAGCTTTAAGAAGCAAGTGCCCTCCCTTTGTTTCTATGTGGTTTGGGAATTAAGGTAGTCCTCCCTTATCTGTGGTTTTGCTCAATCACAGTCCAGAGGTCATTCTCCCGCCATCACGTCAGTGATAGCTTAATGCTACTTCACTGCCTACATCATCCACCTCACTTCATCTCATCACGTAGACACTTTATCATCTCACATCATCACAAGAAGAAGGGTAAGTACAGTACAACCAGATATTTTTCAAGGAAGATCACATTCATGTAACTTTTATTACAGTATATCAATATAATTGTTTTAATTTAATATTAGTTCTTGCTGTTAATCTCTTACCGTGCCTAATTTATAAGTTAAACTTTATCATAGGGTCTGTATGTATAGGAAAAACCAGCATATATAGGGATCCACACAACCTGTGGTTTTAGGCATCTACTGGGGTTCTGGAATGCATCCCCCGTGGATAAGGGGGAACTATTGTAATTGCAGTGAAGGGAAGGGAAACACCTCTTCAAAAAGCCAGCCTTTAATATAAATACTTCCAGTCCTTCTGACCACAGCAAGAGGTGGAAAAAATGCTTGAGCAAAACCTTATGGAAATGCTGAGAGCCATTATTCAATGAGCTAGAAATAATTTACTAAAGGGAAAAAAAAAATGTATCATACTTGAAAACAGGGTACTTTTAGCCAGACAATCTATTTTGAAACTTGGACAGCACACAGCATAAGTCCATTTACATAGAGACAGCTGTTGTATATTTATTATTCACTAGTACCAAACGAGTTTCTCAGTCGATTATAGAAATGAATGCAGAAAATGGTACCCCTTGATTCTGTCATTAGATATCAGAAAATACGTGTAAAGTGAACCTACACAAACGCTCACTAGCATGTCTGGCACCTGTGGGGTGTGAGTAACTCTCTGCAAGGATGGGCGGGGAGCAGAAAGGAGGGGAAGGAATCACTTAGGTTCCCCTGGTACAGAATAGTTGCGGGCCTCTTCCTAACAGCACAAAATGATCAGCTCCCAAAGAATGCCAGGCCCTTCTTCCCCGAGCTCAACCTCTAAAAGTCCTCCCACATTTTCCTCCAGCCCACAGAGCCAAGGACCCTTTACAGGAACCCTTTCCTGCCTCAGCTTCCTTGATTCACTCATTCAGTCTCTCTGAAGGCCAGCCTGCAAGTCCATAAACTGAATAATATCACCAGGTTCACAAGGACTCAGACTTAGTGTTGGGGTTTTAAAAGCTTCTTTGCTGCTCATAGGCGGGGCAAAATAATTGGTAACTGTGCTGCAGTTTTAGTAAAAAGGCAAACCCTGAGGTTCGGGGCATGGCTCAAATGACCTTCCACCTTGAGGACTCTTCAAGATGGAAAGATGAAGACTGAAGGGACCATATGTTAGTGATACCTGAAAAAAATCTAAGGGTCATGCACTATCTGGGTGGGAAACTGCAATTTCTTTATAATTATCTGAACTCTACAACTAGGGCTCATGATAGGGCTGCTGAAATTTTTAAGACATAGTTTTAGAGCAACTGAGAGAAAGCTGGGAACTAAACATAAGAGACCTATCCCCGGAGGGGCGTCTGGGTGGGTCAGTCGGTTAAACGTCTGATTCAGCTCAGGCTGGGATCTCAGGGCTCGTGAGCTTGAGCCCTGCATTGAGCTTTCTGCTCTCAGCACAGAGCCCACCTCAGAGTCTCTTCCCCTCTCTCTCTGCCCCTCCCCCGCACTCTCTCAAACACAAATAAACGTTAAAAGAACAATAAGGAAGAGACCTATCCCAAGAGCAGTTACGTAAGGGAACACTAATTCGTAAATGAGTTCAACTTACTTCAGGAAAGATTACAAAAATTTGCAGAAGTAATTTATGATGGGTTCCTAACGAAAAATTAGATATGTCGAGAACGGATCCATATAGTTTTCTGCTTGGAAGTACGAAAGGAAATTATTACACCATCCCACAAACTGTCCTATTGTATCAACTGCCAGATTCTTATGTCCTTACGGCAGATGCAGGTGCATGGAACAAGGATCTCTGATTTCATGTAATATTTCAGTAGGCCGTTCATGGGGACAGCAGTGTGGTGGATTCCTCCCCGCTCACCCACAATTTGGAAAACAGGCAAATTAGTTTCCTGAGCATTAGACTAGCAAAATGAGCAAATAACCATCACAACAAAGATATGCAAATTTATTTCGATGAGAAAAAATGGCTCCTGCACTAAAGCCGGCTTGCTGAAAGTATTAGCCTTTTTAAACAAAGACTGTGTCCACAGGCAATGCAAATGCCACACAAAATCCTGAGAGGCTTGGGGCGCCTGGGTGGCTCAGTCGGTTAAATGTCCGACTTCGGCCCAGGTCATGATCTCGCAGTTCGTGAGTTTGAGCCCCGCGTCAGGCTCTGTGCTGACAGCTCGGAGCCTGGAGCCTGC